AACTTGAAAACAATTATCTTTGAAACTTTGGACGAAAATGTTGATGAGGACGAGTACGAAGAGTTTCTGGTGAAATACAAATATTTCTTATTAATCGAATACAAATCAAAGTGTCGGAAAGAGTGGAGATTGCGTTGCTGATTAAAGGAACTTTGAAATCTCGATACGAACATTGTAATTTTAGTTCTTTTAAATATTTTTGCGATTTAATTAATGTTGCTAAACCTTTATTATCCTTATCGCATGGATTAATATTTATTATTTGAATGTGTAGACAAATTTTGGAGAGTTCTAAAAACGTCTTTGAAGAAATGTTAGCGTTACATTCTAATTCACAAAGATATGATAAACTTGAGGTGGCGCCGGGACAATCAGTAAGTGGAACATCCAAAAGTTGAAGGTATTTAAGAGAATAACATCTTTCAAGAAATAATTTGTAAATTTCTTTTTCTACTAGATCTTCTTTATAAACTTTTTCGATATTGCTCATTGGAATTAGGTCAAGAAATTCTCGTCTAACTTTATGAATTTCTTTAAGCGAAAGAGATTTACAAAATTCCAAATAATTGCATATAGGAGATGATAATTGAGATGAAACGATCAAAGGAGGGATTTCAACACCATTTCGTTTCAAGATCTGTTTGGAAGCATCAGAAATAAGAGATATCAAAGTTCTAGTTATACAAGTCCAAGAAGTTAAACGATTATATTTAGGTTTTGAATCAAGATTCCACGGATTTCTCCATAGAATTCGAATTACAATTTGGCACCATAATCTGTTAACTAATAGACAAGAATATAACGAATCTGTGTCATCGGACAAATATTTAAAAATATTTTCAAGGCAATCTGCAGGTAGTCTAGGTAAGTTTCGTGAACATGAGTATGGTTTAATAGAATCATTAAATAAATATGCAGAAGTTTTTATCAAATGTTTTTTCATTTTATTTGATTTTTTTTTTATTCGATTTTTTTTTTTTATTCGATTTATTGTTTTATTTTTTAAGCTTTTTTTGGGGAGAAAAAGCTTCAGAAAAAGTCGAGCTTTTATACGCAAGTAAACAATAAAATTTTTTAGCCATTTCCATAAAAGTACTAATTGTTTTCGCGTAAGAAAGAATTAGAAAAGAGTATAGTCTTTTTTACAACTTAAAAATAAAAAATATGCGCTACTTAATGAGTTGTATAACGGTTATGATCATTTAAAGTATTTTAATAACGATCGATAACTAGTATTCCCCCAAAATCACAATATATGATCTACATTCCTAAATTTAGCTCAATTAACAGTTAAGGAGAGGAGTAGCAAAAACAACGATGCAAAGATGCGATTCTTAATTTCAAATAATCCAACTTGTGCATTATTTTGATACAACATCAATGGTCAAATTTTATTTCCAGGTTGTACATGGCAAAGTATTTTCTTTTTCTAAATTGAACCGGATACTTTTGTAATCAAATATAATTCTTAATTCTATTTATGCATATTCGATTAAGATGAAACGTTAGATTTTTGATAGATATATTTACAACATTTTTATTTTTCTATTTTTGATAAACAAGCAAATAAATATTTGTGAAAATGTTCTTTATGACTTAGGTCGCGCGATTCATGGAATTAGAAAACTCTCGGTTATAAATATGCAATATATAAATTGTTATGCTACTCACTCAGACACGAAAACCTCAATGAAAAAAAAGGACCAATAGAGATTTGAATCTTAATGGTTAAGTATTCACTGCAAAAAAACACTACCTAAAATTATAGTTACCGCCTAAATGTCGCAGGTTTTTGGTTATTAAATATATTTGTATTAAGATTTTTTTTGCGCGCAAGCATAAAAATTAGTGAGATATAAATCTCATACATACGTACGCACGCACGCAAATATAACGTCATAATCCACAGTGGGCATTTAACATTAAACGTTAAATGTTTAGTAAAAGTAATATTATGATTATCATGTTTGGAGTTTGGAACAAGTTTTGGACGATACGGGTCCAACCTCATTTTTTTCAATGAACTGTCACGGATGATGAAATCGGATGGTGAAATTTGTGTACTGTACGTACGATGTTTTGAAATTTTTCGGGGCCTTTTCTTTGTCGGTTTTTTTTTAAAGTTAAGATTTTAATAAAGAGCATATATTTTCATTGAGACCTAAATTTCACCATCACCCGATTTTATCATATGAATTCCTAATACTGTAAAAT